GGATGAGTCATTCACAGGAATGTATACAGAATTTAAAACTGAAATAATATTATGATTCAACAATGAACTGTTGGTCTAACCGTACTTCGCAAATACAACAGATGTCATCGCCTTCCATTTTGGATTTAATCGAGACTCAAACTCAGATTCATTCAAGGCGTTTTTAATAATAGGACGTCTATCTTTTAATTATTGGATTAGTCTTGGATTTGCTTTTTAAAATCTCGTTTTTTTTCTTTATTTTACACGTTGTATTCTATGGAAATATTTAATTTTACAAAGCTTGTTGCCTTCGCTCTTTTCTCTTATTTTCGGATTTAATTCTGTCTGAAGCAAAGCTGCGTCAGATATGATATTATGCGAAATCAATATTTCTTCCTGAACTGAACCAGACTCTATTCATTAGCTGTTGCTTAAGAATAGAAATAATGTTAATATGTTAACTCAATTTGTAACAAGAGTTTTGAGTATTCGTGAATCTAACTCTTGCTGTTAAACAGGACAAGTTTATAAACAAATCAGTCAGGACCGATGACTCCTGTCCATTAATATAAGATTTCTTAATCACTGTTAAAATTCTAATACCCTTCAAAAATTATCGTTCGAAAGCAAATTAGTATTCTCCTATATCCATATATTTGTTTAGCTTGGTTTCGCTTCAGCAGCACTTCCACATCCGATAATTAGTGAGAAGTGCGAGTAATGAAAACGATATTTCTGCCCCACAGTTGTTATAAAATAAGTTTCGTAAAATTGAAATTCTTTAAATATTTATCCTGTTCTTGAGATCAGAAAGCAAGTCTTTCACCCGATTTAAAACAGGCGTATAATATTTAATAATACAGAAAGTGAGACCATTGAAGGCATTAAAAAGAAAATATCAAATGCATCAACGTTCATAATGATCAGTTTTCCGTCTCTTGACTGTTACATAGACCGACAAATGTTACGAAAAACTAAAAGAACGTGGATTATGGCTCTCGTGTTGACCATGTTATCACATGACCGTATTCTGACCTACGAGATCCTGAAGAGCAGAGAAAATGTTATTACCTATGGAACACGTGATTTATTGTATTCCGTCTAACAGATCTAAAATGGATAGGATGCTGTCTAGAAACGATATCCTAAGGGACAATATAAAAGTCGAAGGTTATAAAACTACAAATGTTGTCATAAAGGAGATTTTATGTAATGTTTTAGTCTTGTTTACTTTTTACTTTTTCTAGTAATTACAACAATTGTTACATTGGTGCGGGAAAGAGAAACAAATTTATCTATTTCAATGCATTCAGTACACATTTAGCGTTTGTGTTGTTTTCTATTTCATCTGTTTACTTGTAAAAATTAAGTTAGTTATAGATTTTCATCATATTTATCAATGCACATAATAGTAATCTAACCTTAAACGATAATACCAGCTATAACATCCAGTCTAGTTTGATATCATTTATTCGTATTCTCACTACCTCTACAATTCGCGTAAATCAGGTTAAAATGTACTCACCAGGTACGTTACGGTAATGACAATTATATCGGCAATTGACTTGTATAACTTGGCTCAACTCGTATTACAAAGACCTTGGTTGATTTGTCTAACAGTGTTCCAAATCCTTGTCAATTAAATTCTACCGGATATTTCTTTGCATGTGCCGTTTCAATTATTTTTTGTTTTCTTGTATCAAAAGAATATGTACGAGGTTCGCTTATGCCAGTCGTAACTTACTACCACGATGCAATAATGGTAGTACAATGCATGTCAACAGTGTGCTGTCCATGATGCAAATATCTAAAGTCCCGATTTGCATACGAAACTGACACAATTTACTTTTGAACATTGATGGTCTAACTTAACTCGAGTCAAAATGTATGATATCACACGGAATGTTTATTAAACAACCTGTGTTGAAAAGTTGTGGTGTCTTTATCAAAAGTTATATCTATTCGTGAGTGTACTTGATTTATAATATTTGATTTATAATTTATATCTACTTTCATGTTTTAGTGACTTGATTTATCAACAGTGGTCGATAATTATAAAAGTTTGATTTTTGAAAATTTGTCTAGTGTCTTTTCACTTTTTAATTGTTATTTTGGTTGTTAATGATGAAATACTGTTTTGTATAACGCTTTCATGTGTATATTAGAGTGATATACATTATAGTAAAGTAAACTACTGTCTGTATTCACTTATAAGTCGAGACAAGCTGCAAACAACAATGATCTTGATATGATATAACTGTAGATCAGGTCTATGTTTTCTATTCTGCTACTTATTCCTAACAAACGGCGCAGACCGAGACCGGCCGGTACATAATGCAATGGCAGATCTTGGTCATTGCAGATTGCAGTGGGACTTGCCTTATATGCAGGTATATGCGGTATATTTAAAATCAATGATTGCAAATATGTGACCTTAGATCACCTACAATAGCTATGTTTGCTAGTCTGCACCTTTTACTTCAATATAGAGTGAATAGTTCTGAAATGCACGTGAGTAGAATATGTTTGCGATGAATATCATGGCTGGATCCTCCATAAGCAACAAATACAGTTTTTGCTTCGCTTATGTATGTGAAACAGTTCATTAACCATAGAAATAATAGGAACAAACAAAGAACCCAACTTTATACAAGAATATCACGTACTTACCGTACTATATAGACCAGTTTGGAACCTCGTATTATTTTCAGTTACTTAATTCAAAATTTGATTACAGCGTTATAATTACACCTTGAAAAGATCTAATTAAGCGATTCCATTCCAAACTTGATTATGTATGGCTGAGAAATTTAACATTACAAGTACGTTAAGTGCAATAAAACGGCTATTGAACAAACATAATCCAGAAATGTTTCCTCCCTCTTTCTCCAATAGACGAGTTTTTAATTTATTCGCATTCTGGATGCGAATTGGCTATCAGGATACATGTTATCTTTCTTCCAGTAGAACTGCTTTTACTGGCATCTGAAACATTTATTAGAAAATGTTCGAGTGTTTGTGCAACAGTATTTGTCATAGGAGAGACGACTGGAATAAGTATAATCCTCATAGTCAATTATTTTTATTCTTATCCTCAAAACAAATACCTAAAGAATAATCACTTAAAACTTTCTTACCTTCGTTGTGACTTTAAAGCCAACAATATTCCCCTTTTAACATTAAAATTGCCAAACTTTTATGTTTATAAAAGAACTTTATCAGTAAATTACAAGGCATTCATTTATCAAAATAATTTTCACATACTGCAATGTCCGTACACAATGGGCACACAAGAGGTCGTCTTGGTAAAGTAACGTTAGCAGTTAAGACCAAGGTTGACATCAAAGCTTTGAGATAATGGCTTCAAAACAAAAATTTTTGCACTCGTTTTTCTCTCATATTTTCCTTTACAATGCGCAGTTCTTTGCGGTTGACAGGTAGAAGAAAAATCTCTAAAAAAGAGGCTATTTCGAAATGATCTTGTATTGACCAGCTTATAGTTACGGGCCTTGGCGACATCAAGTATAACAAAATGCTGACACAATCAAAATTTTGAACGACTGAAATCTTAACACACACACACCATCACACACACACACACACACACACACACACACACACACACACACATACACACAACATTTCATAAAGAAATGCATTGAGAAAGGTACATGGTAAGGATAAGGAACGGGCATTAGATACACAATATCTTGCGTTTCTGCAGAGAGAGAGAGAGAGAGAGAGAGAGAGAGAGAGAGAGAGAGAGAGAGAGAGAGAGAGAGAGAGAGAGAGAGAGAGAGAGAGAGAGAGAGAGATTGCTTAATTTACATTCTTATTTATCCTATTGTTCTTCTTGAGCTGTTATATAATTATATAGTATGTGGTAATAGTAGACTACAGCATTGGAACATTATATGGCTAACGGGTGTTGTAAGACCCAATAAACCTGCTCAAAAACACCAATAGTGTATTCAATGTTTCATTATTCGCTTTGACTAGTGGGAATCGGGTAGCTTTGCTTATTATATTACTATATCGAATTGTTTTAATAAAAGCACAAACTAGATGCCCTTATTGATGATAGTATCAGACGTGTAACTACAATAACAGGAACATTGAACGTGTAACTGCAACCTGAGTACAACTCATCTAGTTCATTTCCCAGAACATACAAAATGAGCTAAGGTGTCATTAATTTTATCAAAGAAATTGAATTTGTTTAAAACCCGGGTCAAAATTATATATATTAACATACACCAAACATTTCAAAGTAAAACAGCGGAAACGTATATGCCAATAATTGAGTAGAACAACAGTTAAGAGGAGAGAGAGAGAGAGAGAGAGAGAGAGAGAGAGAGAGAGAGAGAGAGAGAGAGAGAGAGAGAGAGAGAGAGAGAGAGAGAGAGAGTCTTAATGGTTACAGTCATTGTTGTTGTTTCGTTGATTTATAGGTTTATTACTTCAAATATAATTGTAAGTATTAAAGACGTCTAATATGTTATGTATTTTTATTAATATTTAAGAATATTACATATCGTATTTCATTACTTAATCGACGTCATCTTTCAGTAATAAGTCTAGCATTACATATAGAGTGTGTTGAAATAAATCAAAAGAGCTTGGATCTTTAATTTTTATGCAAGGAGAATATAAAAAAGAGAATATAAAAAGTGTGCAACATCTTTAGTATTATACGTTTTTGTACATATTGGAGAGTTAATTAGGTTCACCTTTTGTATAGGTCTGATTTGAGGGGCTACATACGTGTTTAAATTTATTTTGTAGAATATCAAATTGGAGGTTGCCATTATGTGGTGGCCACTTAATTTGATGAGATAAATTGTTTCTGTTAGGTCGATTGAAGCAGTTTTGATATCATCAAAAGAGAGCTACACACAACAATCACATCTTTTTAAAAATTGAATATTGGTATAACATCCTGAATATATTATGTTTATGAATAATTTGTACATGCATTAATACCATATTAAACGATGTTGGAGAATCGTGCCTATTGTGCCTTTGAACAGACCATGGCCTAGTGGTTAAAGCGTCCGCCTCGGATGCGGGAGATCGCAGGTTAGAAACCAAATCATACCAATGACTTTGATAAACGGTTAATGTGTTCTTGATATGTAGAATGGATTTCAGATTGATACGGTACACTTACGTTTTCTAGGCTACCACGAAATTGTAAGGTTTCAATTTTACATATTTTATGCACAAATGCGTGAAATACATTAGAAGTTAATAATGTTAATAAACACAAGAAAACCTACCCTCATTAAATGGGTGGATTACAATTGGATTGTATACATATGATCCTTTCATTGTAATATATCATTCTCATTATACTGAAAATTAAAAGTCCATCAACATTTTTCTATTTTCATTCCACCATTTAACGTCCCATTCACTTTCGTGCTTTAGCGCACTCGTACTTTCTCAAACTGAATAAACAAAGAGGCTAATTGATTTAAAGCAATAAAAGAATATAAAAATATATTTAAACAGCATTAGCAGCTGAGTTAATTGCAAACATTTCTGAACCCGGCCAATGATAAATTGCTTACAAATAGCTATAGTCATTATGCTTGTAGAGTACACACTGCTGATTAACAATGGTTGTTAATAGATCGCAGGGTAAATAATTATTGTAAGAATTACAGAACCAGTCCACATGTATCCCATGCAGTATTTAAATGAATGAAGGCCTCCGATTAGTTGAAAAAAAATACCGGAATAATTAGCGTATCTTTTTCAGGAGAAGTCCTTAGTACAGACAAATTTTATGCAACAGAAGGCTTGAAAACAGTTTGAACGTTTTCGTTGTCGAAACTTCTTCGTTCATCACAAAGGCTCTAAGTTGATACCAGTATATATTTGTCTATCTCAGAGGTTAAATACAAGCTATGTCACCTCAAAATTGGCTGGAATAAAAACAAAACAAACAAACGTATTTTATTCAAACGTGGATTTATTCAAATAAGTTAGTAAAATACGAAGTATAAGCAGGGGTTCTCTCTTATTTCATTCACATCAAAGTTTAACATAACATAACTACCAGTCAGCGTGCAATTTCTGAAATTGTTTCTAAATGTAGAAGTGGTTTGCATTGAATGACCCCAGGCCTTTTATGCTTTCAAAAGCTAAGAAATATAATTGATCGTAACAGTGACTGAGGTGTTGTTTCAAGTGTAGTAAAAATTTATTTTTTTCTCATACTGCAAAGAAAATAAAAGGCATACTCAAACTGAAACTAATGTGGAAATTAGTACTATGTTAGTATGCATCAACCCAAGCAAACTTATGAATTCAACGAACTCAATATTTGATTTCAATAGATACAAAAAAATACAAGTAAAAAAATCTAAGATAATTTTAACATACTGGATCATTAACATAATTAAATATTTTAAAGAATTCACACTGCATTGAAAAGAAAAAATACAGATACAAATATTATTCTTTCTAATTCACAGGAAAATACAAAGCACAGCCAATTCGCAATTGGAATCGATACAAGTTTGTATACATACCAGCTTCTTTCCATTTTATTTTCAGTACCGCAGAACATTATACATATAAAAAGTCCATATGTAAGTCGGTTTCGAGTAAAATAGATTTATGATGTTAATATGTTTGTGTCTCACATATTGCCGTGTCTAATTCTGTAAGCATTTGAAAACTTTAGTCTTGACTGTGATAACATGACCATTCAAAAATGAAACTGAAGTCTGTTTGAATGAGAAGCCCACAAAACAAGAGTAACCGAAGGACAATAGTCAAAATTTCAAGAATTACATTAGTGTTCATCATTCTTCGGATTACTGTTCCAGTATAAGAGTGCATATATTATGCACATAACCATTATTAGGGCAATGATTTATTGGGGTTGGCAAGTCAAGACCAGTGGATATTTTTCCATCTAAAAATAATAACTTGTAAACTTAACTTTCTTATAGCTTCAAATATTATTTTCCGTTTCGTAATGACACCAAATTTACAGAACTCAAGAGTCCGTGTTTTCAGATGTATTATATTTAATACTTAGATAAATGGCCTTTTTGATGTTCAAGCAAATATATGAAACCCGTTAAAAATATCATTTGTGTCTTAAACTTCGCGTGAAATGAAATTGAATGAAGTGATATGTATTTGCAACACTAGTCCTACTACTAATAATTACTACTATAGAATATGTTTTGCAATACGAAAGAAAGGGGCATGATACGATATCATGTATGATTGTATTCTGCATGTCAATTGTTAGTTGAATGTTTAGAAAAATAGTGTATATGCGTATGCTTGAAAACAGTACCGTCAGGGGTTACGAATACAAATCAGAAAGAAAAACTTATACCAGATTACAGTTGGTGATTTAGCAAAACAGGATAAATATTGTTCAAGTAAGACAGTTGATTATGAAGTATTTAACCAGGTTTTAACTATGTTGACGGCTACGTATTGTGATATGAGTACTACCATAACGTCAGAGGCGCATGTTCTATTTGTACTCTGTTTGATTTTATTCGCTTGTAGGTCTTGGTAATCGGTATCATGAATCTGTAAACAGTCGTGTATAAATAAGTCTTAAATCCCTGATACTACTTTGACATACATTGGCAGAAATCATTATAGTCTGTACAAATTTTAGATCGTCATAAAATTCCTCTTCGAAGAAGCCTAGAAACTGCAACCTCGTACTTTTACTGCCCTGTTGATTCAATGGATGCACCATTTTGGGTATTGCCTTATAAAGAGAAAAACATGTATGTATATATATATATATATATATATATATATATATATATATATATATATATATATATATATATATATATATTTATTTATACATATATATATGTGTGTGTGTGAGTGTGTGTGTATGTGTATGTATGTATGTATGTGTGTGTATGTGTGTGTGTGTAAAGTGTATATGCCCGAAAGTGTTTGCATGAATATAATAAGTAGGGTCATATTACTGTCATCTCTAAAAATGTTACTACTTCTTTACAATCGTTTGCAAATATGGGAGAAGATTACACATGATTTAGTACAGAAGCATTATTGTATATATATTCTGACGTTACATCCCCGTTTGTTAGTACCAACTACCGAATTCAATAACGAAAGCGTTAAACTTGATAAAAACTGCAAAGAACCATGCATATACATCTACAGTGGTGCATACACCCCTTTGATGAAAATGAACTTGTCTAGGAACTCGAAATTGGTTTCAAGCATGTTCGTCCATTATACTGAAAACTTCCGATATGCATGAAACGTACAGACAATGACTGTGTTAGGGTCATTCTAGTCAGTCCGGTTACAAAAATAAATCAATGAATGAATTGACTATTCTTTGCACTATTGTATCACATTAAAGATTTACATTATTGAAATCGGTAGGGGTACAAACAAACGGGTTGATATGCTCGGACTACTGGTACATATACACATGGGCTTTAGTGAGAAGGACAATTTGTGAGTTTTTTTGCTTAAAAGCGTAATGGTAATAAATAAAAAAGGATACCATGATCTCTATTATTAATGATGATGATAACGACGACGACGACGCTGATGAAGATTAATGTCAAATAACACTTTTGCTTATGATTTATTGTCAAAGAAGCCTGATTTAACACAGGAAAAGATCCCCGTACAGATTGCTTATCTGCCCTTTTAAATCGAAACCATACTACATAACTCTTTTAAATTGCCTGGGTAATTGTACTTACGTATCCCAGTTTTGAAATGAGTTAAAAGGTTAAAATGATAATATATGTATGGAATGTTAACTTCCGTTGATGGAGTCAGTTGTGAGCAAGACGGAAAAACAAGCTGGTTAAAAAGCTCAGCTTCAGGAGTGTTATCCGGGAAGGTTGCACTGTAAATAGCTCTCGGAGGTGTTGCACATTTTTTAACATTTGTTCACAAGCTCTGATACTGTACCAAGATGAAATATTATCTTGAACGAGTTTCAACGCACCGTTCGCAAGGCCCAAGGGTTAAAACTTTCTTTTTCCAATTAAACACCATTATATTAATCGATTGCTGTATATTTTTCCTTGCTATGTTTAAGAAAGTCTATGTATTATTAGATATGGAAATGATTTAGGTATTATTTTCTTACTTAATAGTTAAACAGCAGTGTATTTTATGGCATCTTTATTGGCCTAATTTAGAGAGGAATTGCTTTTAAGTTCAAGACGATATTTCTACTCTTTCGCATCTCAGCTGAATGCACTTTAAACGCTCTCTGTCATTACCATTTAATCAAGTTTTTGTATTTCTCCGATTTCGTAATGAAAACAAATGCTTGAACGGTTCTTACAATTTATGTATTCGTAAAATGACTGCATGGGTTTCCTTACATATTATCATTTGCCTCGTCAAGCTGAGTCACTGAACATTAACATCACCAGGAATCGAATTGACTGATCTATACCATTACCATTATTTCGGTAATACAGCCGTCTACGCTGTAGTCAGTTCACCTGGCGCTTGTACCAGCTGTTTTTTATTTCGATTATCCATTCCTGCCAATTCGTCGAATACATCTTTTTGATACGGTTAGCTATTAACACGCGACTTTCCTTCTTGGACCATATTGTCACAGCTTTAAAGATGACGACCGTGCCTCGTTTACAACTACGGGAATGCATTATCCGGATATCGAGATTGATTCCGATCGGCACAACCCGCGCACTATCTTTGATGATAAAACTGATGATGGTTCATGCTCAGATCCCACTGTGGAACGGACGGATAATGCCCGCCACCCCGCTCTTCTACGCTGGCATAGAGAGACAAGGCCTCAGTCGCTTTTGACAACTAGTAATCCACATATTTATTTCGTGTCTCTCGCAATTGGTGTTAAAACCAAGTAAGATCAGTGACCCTCGCAATTCTAAATCCTTTTATTCTGCGAGTAAACTACCTAGGGAAATGGATTAAAAGCAGTGAGTTTCTGCAACCACTCGGACTGTATCATGTATCAGCGGATCCGATCCCCCTAAATCGCCCGTATAAACTCCTTTTGCAAATGACCTATCTCAAGGGAAACTGTTTCCATTCTGCTAGATTGCGGGATAAGTGTAGTG